TTATAATTGATATACTGATATGACAGGTATATTGATATGTATACATGTTTTTTACTGTTTATTAAAGTAGAATGCATATATGTATGTGTATATGCATGGTATGTTTACACATTCAAATACTTTCAGAGCATATCAACACTGTTCCGTTTGCGCTTGATATCCGAATATAAATGGTTATGTCGTCAATTTATAACGGCAGCAGCAGTAAACACACTTTTTTCTCGGAACTAGACTTATAGATGGAATTTAGACCGAGCCTTCGGCACATCATGTATCGCTGATGGCCAAAACCAAGAAGAGGAGGCTGCTAAGTTAGCTACTTCTGTTAAAGGTAAGGTTACTGTGTGGTAGCCAATTGCGAAGAGGTGGAGAATACGGCATACACTTGCTAACTTGGATGTAAATGGAACTCCCTTTGTTCAAGAAACTTATAAAGTTGTTTTTCAATTGGCACAGCAAGGTTTGGTATCAATGATTAGATGCGTGACAGTCTGGATGCGTGTTTGCATGTACAAATACAAACAATACTCCCTACAGCGGTTTCATATATGTATTACTTCAAGTAACAAATATTCCACCCAACCTATCACATCCAGTATTCCACCAGGTATCCCGATCCACTATCCAGGGCAGCACCTGTCGGAAGGTGCGTTTCGGCTTCGCTTCGCTTGCGTTGCCACAGCAACCGACACATATGAGTGGCAGTATGTCAGCACCAGCGAGAACACTTCACCAAAGAAGGGGCCGATCTTCGGTCAGTTTTCTGGCGCCAAACTTGTCGTTGCCGCGGAAGGCCAAGGCTGAGACTAAGTCTCCGGTGGTTGGGTTGTCTACCGCATGGTATGTCCTGTCCCAATATTGAGACTAGTGGTGACCCATTTTATGATTTATTCATGGAGATTATGGTTGGTGTCGTGTTGGTTTCAGATATACAGATTGTCCAGGCGGGCACATACCTGACCAACGTTAAACATGTATATCTACACTATCCTGAGCATGCCCATGAGCATATTTTGATTTCGTTGTCCAGATTAAGATTTAGCTATATACTTCTTGATGGTTTTGTGCTCCCGTGCAACATCTCTTCGATATCTGAGTGTAGAAGAATTGCACCAAAAAGGGCATTGGATTATTCGATATTCAAGACAAGTACCTTTGACTTATCATCTTCTCAAACTAAAATCAAGGTGCCCTCTGAGCCTTCAAGAGGTCACAATCTGCGAGGAACTCTCAAAATTGTATTTTTAACTTACCCTGATATCAAATACTGGTCTATTTCCACAGTAACACCCGATTGATTGTGGGAGTGTTTCACGACATACATAAAGATGCGACTGCAGCTGAAACGGATGAAAGATTACAGGTGAGTATCCTTACGTTTAAAGCATATTGAAAGATTGTTCCTAAAAGGCCCTCCAATGCTATGGATCATATATGAGATGGATTTGCTCACCTTGATAGATGGGGCTCAGAATTATCCAGTACTCCCTCTGTATACCACTTATACCACTATACTACTACTAGTTATTTGAGAGATCACCACATATCGAGGTCGTGTTGTGCAATAGATTTTGCAGTATGAGTGATGGTTTTTGCTTCGACACTAAAACATTTATGTCTCCTCAGGCGTTTGCTAACTATCTTATCAAATCCTTTGAGGACGAATTTGCTCCGGTCATGGATACCGCTGACTTCCAAACCAATCTCAAGGAGTACGTCAAACAACGTGAAAGGAACGAAGCGCCCGAGAGCAGTCCTATGGTACCGTTATTCAAATCCTTCTACGACAGGATCGTAGACCTGCCCGCTTTAGTACCAACCTGAAAATGGTCTATCTTCCTATCCCCTAGCATGCGATAAAAATCAGGACTCGGAGTTATTACACTATCGCGAACGCAGACCCATTGTGACGAGCTGGAAGTGAAGTATGACTAGACCACTCTGAGATAGCGCCGCGCATCATACCCAGTATACAATGCTTGTGTTCGTATCAAAGATTCTGATGTACACGCGGTCTTTGACTAATCACGTATGTACCATCAGTTCCAGATACTGAAGCCAGGCCACAGGAAAATATCAACTGGCATCCCCATCATGTCTAGGTGAGCGACTATTAACTTCTGCACCGTACAACTCAACGTTTGGTACGCTCGTGCAATCCGTGCAACGGGATGCTACGATTCGACCTCTTGTATACACTCGCGCCCACTGACTATGTAGTGCTTCCAAACTCAAAAATCGTATTGTCGCTCTACTAGTTATGCTACCCCAAATCAGACTGTTGCAACTTGATAGGCGAATCTCATCTCTGTGAGTATGAGTTTCAGGCGCAGCATAAAATATCTGAAAGTTGCTCTCTTCGCAGCAACGCTGAACACGAATCGTTAATACACCTTCGCTCCTTCATGGGTTTCACGGTTGTAGACACCCTTGAATCTCTACATCAACACATACAAAGACTGGATTTCACAAGTGTGTATGGGACTGCACGGACGCTGTGGTAAAGCTAGTGGACAAAGTCACCTCAAACACTGTTTCCTTCAGCTCAATCTGCCCGGCAGCTTCATCGTCGAATGGTATTTGAGTAGCTTTCCGCGCTGGGATCATACTTCTGGTTGTCAACTATCCAAATAGTATAGTACAAGGTTTATAATATAGCTCGGGATGTAATATAAATAAACGAAGTGGTCAATAATTAAAATCTTGTAGTAATAGCAAATCTATCGATATCAGGTGAATAATTCTGATACACAACTTCTGAAGCTCTTGAAATTTCCCCGGCTTTGGTGGCAAACACTACTCTAGGCCAGTGTCGGCATGAATTCTGAGAGATCATTTACAACTCCGCTTTAGTTAGTAGTACAACAATCGGCGGTAGTGCAAATAACAGCTAAAATCAACGATAGATAAAGGCGTGATATCTTTGGCTAAACAAGTAGTTTTGCTATTGCTTAACAAAAGATAACCACTATTTCCAGCGCCAACCATCCAGTAGGCATTTATTCGAAAGATGCTTTAGTATGCTATTGGTTTCTTTATTCATCCGGCTTGATGTCTGATGATCACATTGACAAGAATGTAGCTTCTTCATTTCTGTGGCTGTAAGTATACCTTTTTTAGTCTCTCTCTCTTCTAATGGTCACCAACTCAATATTGACATCGCTATCACGCATTTGCGATTTTAAAAACAATATCACCTCGATTTTCATCGCTATTGTTTTAAAAAATGAGTTGTCACCGCAACAGTTGACCTTGTACCAAACACGGCACGTCATGAGCGCGAAGAGACACCGAAATACACTTACGAATGATCTATTCACATAATTTCATGGTTATTACGTAATGTATTTCGGGGGCACATAATTCAACACGGTGACGGGGAGGTTTAAAAAAATATGTATGTACAGTCAAACCTCTTTTTTTGTCCAGGGTCCGTTTCAGGCCAGAATTTAGACTAAAAAAGAGATAGACAATAATCTGACAAGTAGGGTGCACATCTAACACTTGGTAGGCAATATCCCTGACTACCATGTATCCCGCACCCAGAACAACAACAATTGGGCGCTCACACCCAACAGGCGAGTATTACCGCTATTCTTATATATATATATTGTAGTTCATTTATAGAGGTTATCATAAAAATACTTGCTAATCCACTTCCCTTGTGACTTGTGCGAGTATAGCGGAGCACACATAGCACGCGTGAATTCATACAACAGAGTCCTAATATATTCTCTAGTACGCATCCTGTAAATAAGTTTCGAGTCCCACTCTATAAGAGTGGACACAAAAAGAGGTAAACAACAAAGGAGGTAGCAAAAGGGAAGGTATGTCTGCATGTTTTTATTTGCATTTTACTGTGCCTTCTGTATGAATATTGACCAATAGGTATTTATACCCCAGTTTTAAAATAATTTTCTTTTAAAGTCCCAACATTTTTTTTTCTCGTTGTCTATTTTCAGACACAATTACTCTGCCCGAGTCGGCGAGTCCCGCTGCCGGTAAAGATGCAGTTGTTCAGTGGCCCAAATTCCTTGCTTCCTCATATCGAATTGAGTTCGCTAAAAGTATACGAATTCGGAAATTCAGGAATACAGTCGGTTTTTGGTACAGGTTGAGATTAATTGCCCCAACAAACGTGTTCTAGTCTTGTGCACCCAATTCACAAAGCTTCAAATGCCAAAAGTAATTTTGAAAAACAAAATAGGCCTTTCGAACCTAAATTCACGAATTTCTCCACAAGAGCTACACCAACCCAAGCGGCCTATCACTAATTATATTTACCAACCTAACGATTAAATTAATGCAAATATTAATACATATAAATACTGAAAGCTATTTTGTGTAAACTGCTCACTCTTCCAGCGGTGGAAGAGATGTTTACGCGAAGCTCCATTTTTGTATTTTGTTTTTTCAGAAATAATATCGCACGCACGCACACAGTGGTCCTGGCCACATTTTGGAGTTCCCCATTTACAATACCACCTACGATAAACGGGACATAATAACTTGAAATAAACGCGGTGGCTACAGGACATAGTGGTCCTAGCCTCGTTTTGAAGTTTTAAAATATGTACCTATTTATTTACTTTGCCGTGTACGAGAAACGGGGACATATTATTCGAATAGGTTTGAAATAAACGCTGCTATCGTAGAAAGCTTTGTCGACTTCGTGCTGATACGTCAGTATTGTTCTGCGTACACAAAGAGCGTCTCACTTGGATACAACGAACAATACTCAACAGCGTATTCCCTCCTCCTCACGTCTCATACGCTCAGATAAGATAGCCTCTCGTATTTGTACTTACTTAGCTGGTGTCAGATACATTGTACAGACAAGTACAACATACCTCTGCATATTATAAAGCCTAGTAATCATGTCTATTGTTGTCCCCACACACCTGCAAAATACCGCCGAAATATGCTGTCCTGATTGCCGCTCGACCGATCTCTTAGAAGACTATGCAGCAGCTGATCTAATCTGCACACAATGTGGTCGTGTAGTAAGTGAGCGTCTCACTGATACAACTTCTGAGTGGCGTACCTTCTCCAACGATAACAATCCCCAGAAGGACAAATCTCGTGTGGGTGCTGCCGAAGGTCTGAGTCACAACCAGCTCACGACCACTATAGGCGCCGGTAAGGGGGGCAAAGATGGGGCATCTAATCTGTCCCGGTTGCAAGCCAAGACCATTATCGGCATGAGCGAGAAAAACTTTAACGACGCTGTGCAGGAAATCAGCTCTATGGCTGATCGTATGGGACTGACTCGTAAGATTCAGGAGCAGGCGTCACAGTTGTACCAAGCGGCGGTGAAGGAGGTTAAAGCACCTACCAACGCACTTGTAGCTGCGTGCATCTTCATTGCCTGTCGTAAAGAAGGTGTTCCTCGTACGTTTCGGGATATATGCCAGCTCACGAATGTGCCTAAGAAAGAGATAGGTCGCACATTTAAACTGATTCGGTCTAAAGTGCTGCCTAATATTTCCGAGACCACAAATACTGTGCGTGCGTCTGACTTTATGGATCGATTCTGCGCTGATTTGGGTTTGCGAAGCATACGTCGATTTGCGGCGCATGTGAGCAACAAAGCGTCTGATCTGGGAGTCAGTGGAGGGTATGTCTACATATCATTTAATAGGGCATTGCATTCGAGGGCGTTGCCACGATGTATCCGAAGATAATTGTGATGTGTTTATGACGTTTTACATCGTTCTTTTGATAGCATGCAGAAGTTGCTTTTTCGCTTCTGTTGGACTTTTATGGCGCCCATAGTGTTCGACATAGTACTCGATATGTTCATGCAAGCTCTATATGCTGTGGTCTCATGTATCACCTGTCAAGTAAACTCTATTCTGTCGCAACCATTAAAGGTATGTACCAACGTTGCCCGCGAATATTATAATTATATAGCAATAGAAGAGCTACATCCACATTCAAGCAGCATACAGCATGTATTAATAATGCCCCTGTTTCGTCAACCTATATATCACCCACATAATTAGCCGTCCCCAATTGACGGTCGCCGCCACAGCTATATACTTTGCTTCGCAGCTGAGCAACAATGACTTGAAACGATCTCCTAAAGGTACTATGTTCTACGGTGACACCATTGTACACATTGACTATGAGCTTGATATATTCGCTTGTGTGGATTCGTATGGTTAATATGTATGCATGTATGAAGACACAATCACTCAATGCATATGCACAACATATGGATATGTGCATACCTATTTTTTTTTACAGTTGGTGTATATGTATCTACTTATTTATAGAGAATGTGAACGCAGTAGCCATACACGATTAAGTCCCTATGATTTGCGCATCGTATATTTTTTGTAAGTATATATATATATATATATATATATTCGAGAGAACACAGTACCTTATGGATATGTCTTTGATGTCCTATATAAACACATCAGACTGCGTTTGTTTAAAGAACATGTAAACGTTCTACGTATCAATGACTGTGGACTCTAAGGGCATATACATGATTGTTTCGTTTCCGTTCGCTAATTCGATACACCTCTATCCATGTGGCCTTTATTTCCATATAAGCTTATGTCATGTAATTGAACAGTGTCTACCATATTCGTGAGCATTTGCCTCCAAAGTTCAGTTTTGTATTTGTTCCATATATACTTCTGCTACCTATCTTTAGAATCGAGCAGGCTAGTAGCATATTCTACTTCTATATCACATAGTTGCCTGTCTTTTTGGTTATATCACCCGCAGTTCTGACCTGCGTAATTACAATGCAACGTAAATTTATCAAATCGTTCATTCTCGCTCGGTTTTATAGTTGCATAGTATCTTATAAATATTGCGCAAGCTATTTTAAACTGGATTCTTTGTGCCGCTGGTGTACTATCTCGTACACAGAGATTGGGGATGCGTGTGGCGTGGCCGACCAGACCATCCGCCAGTGCTACAAGGCCTTCTTCAAGCACAGCCGTGAACTGGTCGAAGGGGTCGAGGCCGAGTTTATGAAGGGACACACTCTTGAAGAACTTCCTTCCGTATGAGATATTCAGGCAATTGAATGTGCGTGTTGTAGTACTTAAGGTACAGCTCTCGAGCGACTTTTTGCTGTGCGAAGTGCGCGGGAAATGTTGCTTGTATGGATTTCATATGTTTATTGCTTACGGAGTCGCCTGGAATGCGGGCGACTGAGTGATCCCCTATTGCATAGCTGGCGTATACGGACTGTACATATTGTGCCGGACATTTGATGGTTGTTAGGGAAAATAAGGTTGGATATCTCAGGGCGAGGGTGGGTTCAGGTCTCTGAACGTACCTGCGTTGGCATGGGCGTGGCTCCGTCAAGACTTTGTTGGAGTAAACCTGCAGATCTCGGGTCTACAATCTATATCCAACAGCTTGAGCTTCACCACAGTGCAAAGGTTAAGATCAGTGCAGCGAGCTATTTGCAATAGACATTGGGTCAGTGTGCACGACCTCCCTCGAGCACATGTCAACGTACAACCGGATGGAGTAACGCATGCCGTGTTATAAAACGGAATTTTATACAAAACTGAATTCTGGACGATGCTCAAATTTGGCAGACAGGATGGAAAAATCGAAACTATCGCTATCGAAGAGTGGGGAGCGAAGTTTTATTGGTAAAGGATGTGGATAATCAATTTACAAATGGATCTGTAAGGTCATCTCGTCAATAAATGCCAATGCAAATTGCTAATTATGAATGTTCATTAGCGTCGAGACAAGAAAGTTTTGTTCTATCCTGTTATCTGTAGCGGATTTTTTTTATAAAGATTTTATACTTCAGTTGCGGTTAGTAGTGGGCGTTGCCGATTTACTTGCGTAGATATGCATCACCATGATATTTGGGAATAGTTTGGTCGATTCCCAATATTAGTATGTCTTCTGTTTGGAAAGGGCAGCAGCTCGGGATGATTAGATGGTAATTTCAAATCCGATAAGATAAAATTTAGCTCGAGGTTGTCTGCTCATATATCAATCTGACATAGCCTTCCAGGGGACAAATCTGAGTTGTGTTTCTAGGCCTTTGTGAAACACGCATATAAAATCGAGAGTCTAAAATTAGGCTGTGTCCTCGTCTTTATCATATGCGCATAACTTTTAACGTCTCTGACTTTACCTACCGTATAACGCACGACAATATATTGGCAGTTTTGTCTTCGCTTTATATAGTCAGTGAGTTTTATCTAGCAAGGGTTTCATGAGTTGAATGTCATCTGGAGAATACATGAGCGAGTAGTTTACTCTGGCAGTGACAGTTTTGGATATACAGGAAAGTTTATTGCAGTCTACACAGTGACAGTAGTGTAACCACGGCGACGACACTTCATGGTGTCTTCCCACATTCCCAAGCGAGGAGACAAAAACCAATCGACACATGGGTCTGTACGCCTGGGTTCAATATATCATCAGACAGAGCTCATAGTACAATTCGCCACTGGTGTATAGGCAGGCGAGTATTGCAATGCTGAATAATTGTAATAATTGAAGTAGTAAAATATGACGAGTACAGTTTTAACCAACCTGCGATGTGTACAAGTAAAATCAGCTGTGTGGAACAAAGAGTATCAATAGACAATTGCTTCCTTCGGTGACGTTGCCGTTCTTGTAAACTAGTATTAAATCGCAAAAAAACACAGACACGGACGTTCAATAGTATAGTACTACGTACACTGATCTCGCGAAGTAGCTGAGAATCGGCGGAGCCGTTCGACTTTACCTAAAAGTTGTTTATGCATACGATATAGTAGCTGCGACTAAGAAATGAACGACGCTGAATCTGCAACAGTACATAACGGGCAGAAGTACGTAATATGCATAATACCATTTTTGACAACGCAGCACATACAGATAAGTGTTTGAACGTTATATCGATTTTAAGTCAGGTTGATGTTATGTGTGTGGTTGAAACCTGGCATAACACCACATTTCTTAATCATATACGCTCGAACACACACTACCATATCCTACACCACACTACATTGTATCATACATACTTGCCATTTTTGAAATAAATAATATTATCCCTCATAAAGGGAATTCCTACAGGCGAGACATCATATCAGTGATATTGTCCTTAAAATCAAAAATGGTCCCAATATCGTACATTTTTATATAAAATAATGTAAAATATCGTGCGCCTCTATGCAATGGTTAAATAAATACATAGCGCATTGATGGTATGCGATGTGGTTAGGCACGACGTTAATGCATGAGTATGTACAAAGTGAATGAAAGGACCGAGCATTTTCAAAACTAACAATGAGGGTTCCCGTGCAGCGTTGTGTCATTCTGCTCGACTTGGACGAGGCAGCATTACAGCGTGTATCGGATTTTGAAGGTGAGCCAAGTTTTTCAGCACTCGTACTAGAGCGGACCTGTGATCGAACAATGATGTACTTCTTCCCTTGCTGTGTTAGATGAGGCAACGACAAAAAAATAGTCTGATTGAGTACTGAATATCAACAGCGGACATTCATTATTAGCTTAGATGTAAGTAAGCTGAGTTCAAGTAAATTCTGCATCCACCATACGAGAATGTGTACGTATGGCTCAAGGTGTTCATATAGATAACTATATATTTATACCTGGGACTATATACAATATATATGCATACGAATCTA